TATTTATATAAGGCTAGTCTTCGAGTCCGAAGATTAGTGAGGAATGCAGTATTTCCCGTGGCTGCGCAGTCCCAGGTGAGACCTACATATTTTGCCACATCCATGGCAAGCATAACCATTTTCCGCAGGTGGTCGATTTAGATTTTCTTTTCGCCGTCTGTTTTTGTCCTCGGTAGCAGATTTTCTTTTGGTCTCAAATGTGTATCCCGCGGCCTTCGTGAGTGACCTCCAGCTGTCTCGTTCTGATGCCGTATGCAACCAGGTGCTCTCTTCGGAAAAGTTGACGCCTAAGCTGATCTTTGAAGCGTTTCCGTGGGGCGCCTCTGTTACGTCGACACCCTTTTAGCTCACCAAAAAGACTGCCTTTGGCATACGTTCGTTTCCCATACGGTATAAGTGCCCTACCCAGCGTAAATGTCGGACCAAATGAAGTCCCTTTATACTGTCCATACCGGCGTTCGCAAGGAAATTGCTGTTTGTAGTGCGGTATTGTCACCATATGTCCATGATGGAGCGCAAGCACCTTTGGTGGAAGCGCTCAAGAAGTCTTAGATGTTTCCTGTATAGTGTCCATGTCTCAAACCATACAGAAGGGTTGAGAGAACCACCGCCTGGAAGACACTGATTTTTGTAGGCAGGAGGAGCGATCTGTTCCGCCAATATCTCTCGCCTGAAGGCGTCCAAAAGCGCTACTGGCCCTGGCCAGGCGGTTATCAACTTCCCTTAAAAATGAAGCCTCATTTGACACTATACTAATCTATAGGATGACAGGAAAGAACGACCCATTTAAGTTTCGTAACCTACGACGTAGGCCTATAAATCTAAAACAGTGCCGGCCTTGAGTAGCCTATGCCTAATTGGAGGCCCTAGAGAAGAAAAATGAATTAGGTGGCCCCATATGAAATAGAAAAAAAAAAGGACCGAAAAATAACATTACGCAATGAATTAAATCCTTCCTGTATTTATCAACAAATAAAATAAATTCAAACTTGAATAGCCTAATTGTAGGCTAGTGACTCAAACTTGGATCAAATCTCAAACGTAGCTGAACTCTAAGAACTCATTGAGTTCAGCTATGCTTGAATTGGATCCAAGTTTCGCAATTTTTTTTAAATTTTTTGTAAAAGTTGCTTTTCCTTGAGAGGTGGCGAGGTCCTCACCAATCGGAAGCCCTAGGCGGCTGCCTATTATACTATAGTTTGCCTATGCTTAAGGCATAGAAGAATAATATAGGCCTAAATGAAAAATGAATAGATCTACTACTAGAACTGTGTCTAGAATAGATCTAGTCTAAAGCTTGGATTCGAGGACAAGATACAATCAATAAATACTTATCAGAGCCGCAGATACAGAGGTCTATTTGCTAGTTGGCAACATAATGTTACCCAATCGTTGTTGCCCATTTGCTTCTATTGTTATTATCCATCTGTTTAATAAGTTTTCATGGCGCTAATTTTTGTAATTGTTTCTTTATATGCCGTCTGCTTGTCACAGTTATCTAGATCGAGCTAGCGCTTATTGGACCCAGATAAAACAGTTTAATTTTAATCGAAACCATTACCTATACACATTATAAGAATGTAAGCAGACCTAGACTAGATCTCATCTAGATAGACATAGAGTTGATTAAGTTGATAGAGTAGAGTCATAGTTAGTCATCATAGTCAGTGACATAGATAAGTTATAACTATTATTAGTATTAATTCATGCTAATTAAGACGACTAACAGTAACAGAATAAAGTTTTAGATTTAATTTTAGAATCTAGATAGAAATGTCACAACCCGATATAGCCCTAACCTAAATGCCTGAGGCGTAGGGCGTAATTACTTTTTCGAAGTAGCGTCTGAAGTATATCTTATAATATAATAAGATAAGATCTAAATTACATTTTCATTATCAATATCATTAGATCTAGAGTAGAGTCAGTCTAGTTGTAGCCTACATCTAGACTCTTCCATGAACTATGATCTAGATTAGATCTACTAGCCTACTTTGAGATGAGATCTAATCAAAATTTAATGATCTAGGCAATCTAGGTCTAGAACTAGAAACTATAGACTGTATATTAGTACAGTATATAAGGTTATATAGATTTAGATCTAGACATATTTCTAGTCTATAGTATAACCTTATAGTTATAATAATACTATTATATGGCTATCAAAACCAGACAATGTCAATGTCTAGATCTAATGATAATAATGGTTCTGTCTGGTTGATTTAAATTAAATTTGAATTTTCTATTTAGATAGATCTAGATCTATAGAATCTAAATCTGTACCAGTATCTCATGTTTTCTTTCCTCTAGATCTATACGATTTTCTTCTTTTTTTTTTAATCACTTAGAATGGTCATAAGATGGAACAATTCAAACCATTATTATAATTTAGAACTAAAGACTATAGTCTAGATCTAGACTTTTTTTTCTTACAGATGCAAGACGAAGCTATTTTTAAAGTACCCAAAACTCGAAGATGCCTGTTGAACTTATTTTGTAAGGAAACACTGGAAGATCTGGATGATGTCTGGAATGCACCAAACCTGCAAAGAGTACCAGCTGGATTAGAGCTTGATAATGTGAACCTGAAACACACTGACAACAATGGTGACCACTTGGATTCATGGCCACCTGATTATAATGGGAACCTAGTTGGTGAGTCCGACACCAACATAGATAAATATACTATTGGGCTGATGGATGAGTTGAATGATACACCATTCAATCAGGAGTCTCAAGCAGATGGAAATAATGATGACATTGAAATAGATGTTGACAATATCATGTCACCCAAAAGCCCAGACATTTTATTTGTGAAAGATGAAAGTATGGCTAACATTGATTCAGATTCATCTGGATCTGATGTTGACTGGGACTCATTCACACCCCCTGTACCCAGTAGTCCAAATGACCACGTGGTGCCAGACCAAGATGACTTGTACTGGAATTCAGTGACCTTGTGTGAAGACCACATTGTTCCACAGCTAGAGCTAAGTGATTTCCAGAATTTCCCATCTGGATAACCATGTAAGGCACTTCTTGATTGTCATTACTTAAAAAGTTCAGAAATTCTAAACATGCCAAGCACTAATTGTAAATGTTTTACAAAGTTAGGGAATTCTTTTGAATTGGGTAGTGGGCAAATAATATTATATTGTAAAGTTGAAGTTTATGTACTATATACTGTTCAGAGTTCTAAGAAAAAAGTTAGTGTATAAAGCCTTGTTACTATTTATTTTCCTCTAAATATGTACAAAGTATAAAATTACTTTAAAAAAATATGTACATTTTAATTGTAAATAGTGTACTTGGTCAATACAAATCTATTTAATGATAAAAATGTGTATTGTTGAAAGCTTATTCATTGTAGATATTTTGTAAAAAAAATAAAAATAATTATAAATCTTATTTAAGCTGTATTTATTAATTTTTTTCTTCCCTATCCCTAAATTTTTGTTTGTAATGTTTATTACTCAAAGACTGTATGATACACTCTGTATATTTTTAAAAGCATGTTTTAAAAAATGTAAATGAAATGTCAATTTTAAATTAAAACTGAACATATTTTTGTAATTACAATCATGTTTGCATTTACTCATTACCTTTGTTATACAATCATTTGAAATCAAACTCTTTAGTTTGAAATGATTTTGTCTACACTCCCAGTATTCACTTTGAAGGTTTATAAGCCAAAAGTCTATTTGCCATATAGGCACTTCAGTTTTTAACTTTGGATATAAAATGAATCTGACTTAGTCTACTTGTTACTGTATTTTAGTTGGATTTTATTTTTATTTTGTTATTTATTGTTAGCTTATTTCTGGTGCTAAGTTTTCTATACCTATGTTTAGTTGATGTTTATAACATTTGTCATTTCTGTGACTTTTTAGCATAAAGAACATTTACAGTTTCTTTCTGCGGTTTAATATTTTACGTTATTCTCTTTGCACAATAAAAAAAAAGGTTCAATTAATATGTCTTGTTAATGTATATTCTCTAAATGATCTAGGCAGACGACTAATGACTTAGCAAAGACTAAGTATCTAATTGACGTGCATAACAAGGATACACCAACATAATCATTTTTTTTTTAAAAGAACAACCTCAATTTATAAGATACAAGTTGGTTAAAAAAACATTATTTTTTTTGTACAAAGCTTATATCAAATCACTCTCTTTTTGGTAAAAAGTGTGTACTCAATATTTCTCACACACCCATTCTTGGATCAAGTTGAAACTTGGCACAATTATTCATTGACAACGACAAGACATGAATCAATTCAAATAAAAAATAACCAATTATACAATTAATTATTGGTAATTAATTATTTTGTTTAATAGCAACAAGGGAAAATAATACGTCAGTATTCACAGATAGCTAAATTTGCTGGGTTTAGTCTCCTTAAATAATTGTTAAGCTATTTCTCCCTCACACATTCTCCGATCAAGTTGATACTTTATTCATTGTACCTAACAAAACATGAGTCAATAAACAAAAATACTCAGACAATTAATTATTTTGCTTGATATCGAATAAGTTCCCAAGTTGATCCCATTTTTTCGCAACAGAGATCAAGTCTCTACCCAAATACCACTATCACCATGTCCATTAGTATTTATCATTTCAAAAGTTATTTTTACTTTCTTACATTACAAATTCTGTCCCATATGTAATCTCACCTATAGCTCATAAATAGTTTTTTTTTTTTTTTTATTATGCTACTTACATGCCAAGCTTGTAACAACTAAAAATATTTCTACAAGTGAAGCCTGCTAGTAGTATGATTAAAATACTTTTTTTTTTTTTAAAGAATATGGTTTTAAATTTTTAAAATTGTGTGTTAGTTTGAAATTATCTCACCTTGCAAACATTAATTTGTTTTTATTGTTTGATAATGATCTATAAAACAAAATTTAATCATAACTTCATAGCAATGATTAAAAATAAAAAATAATCACTCTTCAAAGCAAAATTTTAAAATTAAAAGGGAAAATGGGGGGCAAGTCTCTTTCCAGAAATGCAAACCAAACAAAGAAAAGTGATTACATCACATTTAGTTTATTGTCTATGCTCATCATCAAAGTCAGCAATTGATGTCAACAAAATGTAAACAGTTTTTCTCACATGATTGTTCAGATTTTATAAGTGAAACTATCATTAAAAACCTAGCATGTCAAGACACTGACATATATATACACAAAAGAATAAAGCATGATTAATTTACAGCAGACATTTATGTTACTAGATTACTTTTTGTTTTTTAAATAGATAAACACTGCATACACCTGAACTATATCCGTCCATAAATAACAGTTTTCATGCAAACCTAACCATATAATTTTACTGAGTAAACTTAATAATTTCCTTAGAATATTTTAACACTTATACCAATGGCAACTATAATTATTTAAACAAAAAACCACTAGCTTATCATTCTACCTTTATTCCACATAAGGAGACACCATAACCTTGTATTCTAGTAAACTATGCTAATCAACTACCTAAGCAATGTTTCAAAAAGTTGGAAGCCACTTAATTGACTATATTGTCAATAAGTCACTTTTCAATTTGAATTAAAAGCCTTTTATTTTCACTTTTTAATTTAAAATGATATTATCAGCTGAGATATCAGAGAGAGACAGATCAAACGTGTATTTAGTGTTTTGAAAATGTCTGTCCACAATGCACCAATGAATGATCTATACATTAAAATGTGAATTTAAAAAAAAAAAGCAAACAATTATTAAAGACTTATTCAAAGCATACTTGATAAATAAAAGTACACCAAGGTCACAGTTATCAGTTTTCAATAAATAGTCATCTGATATTTAAAAATAACAGAGTTTGTTTACATTTAGCAACACAGTTCAGGGCAATCACTTTCATACAAGAATCACATTTGTTAACCCTTCCACTTTTACCTACAGAATCAGTAATGCATAAGGTCACAATTTAAATGGTGAGCCAAACCAACAAAATTTTAACCATTACTAGTGAACCATCCACAACACACAAGATCACTAATCAATGGTGATCCTAACTTATAACTTTCAAAATATGCATTTTGTATACAGACTAATTTATCAAGGAACAAACTTTTGAGCATGGGAATATTAGTCATGTTAAACTAGGTGAATTATCTGCTAAAACATAAACACTTAACAAGGTGGACATGTCTTTTTTTTAAAAAAAGGACTTTATGTAATACCAATATTAAGATTTATGTTAACAAAACAAAGCTTAACATCAACCATCAATTAAAACAGATGTCTGCACACAGAATGCTGTTCTGATTATTACACATTTTGTGCAAGGGGAAATCCCTTTCCATCAGAAATTTAGATTTTCATAATTAAACTGTCAGAAATAATTAAACTTTGAAATGTTCCTGTCGATATTTACTTCAATTCACCAGCTAAAAGTTTATGCCACAAATCAATAAAAAGAATAAAGTTTAAAGCAGGAGAAACAAGGTTCACCCATTTCTGTAGCAAGTTAATGAGTGAAGTTGTTATGTAACAATCACTAGAATCCCAACTCTCAGAGACCATAAGATATGCAGTCTAATGCTTGACCGTGCAACTAAAGCCATAGTTACAAATGTTCTAAGCATATTTTTGTGTATTGATTTTTATAATAAAACTTGATATGAATAATCCTTTGATTCCCAACCTGTGTACCCTAAATTCCATTAAGCATGCCCGTGAAATAAACTGAACACAAGTTTCCGATCAGTAGATCTATGTTATATAAAAGTTGTCAAAGTATTTTTCAGCTATTCACTTAAAACTAATTAGTGGATAGCCATAGAAAATTATATAAATTTGAAACTTTTGTACCAAGAATTCAATAAATAACTGAAAAAAAAAGGTTGGCTTCACATGTTGGTTGGTGTTGCCGTCGACCAGATTAAACATTACCATTATTCCTCTTAATTTCAATGTATCATGCCTGATAGTCCAAAGACAAAGGGAAAAATAGTTATTTTTGTGCTTCCTTCTAGAGTTATTCCATGCAAGGTCAAGAAGAATTATAACAACATAGTAGTTCCAAGGGCCTTAGAAATATTAATGATACTTAACAATATTTCAAACTTGTTTTAATTCACTTAAAATCCATTGTTTGTATAAAAATTCATTCTTCAAAAATAAAGTATGACAGTTGTTACAGGTACATAACACCACAGTACATAGTCACTACCAAGCTGACTATTTTCTTTAAAATAACAAGTTTTAAATAATCAGACTTTGTAACAAGACATTGTAGCTAGAAGTCTTCACACAAGTAAAGAATAATTATGAATAAATATTTACACATATAGTGGACATTTATTCTAAAATCACATCAGTCACAGTCTGATAATGTCAACGAACCTACAAATTATAATTGTAAAACAACCTTTTTTTAATGGTCTGGTCTTCTTTCCCCCCCACCCCAAATGCAATCACTAGAGGCAAGTCAACAAGTGTTAATGTATTGCTCCACTTGTAACTGTCACTGATTGAGAAGCTGTTGCTAAAGGGCTTTCACTTTCAGTCACCATGGTAACCAATGTGGCATCTACTGCTTCTGGTTGATCTACAGTGTTCCTAATAATGCATATAAATACATAGAATGAATAACACAAACACATTATTTTTACAAAGCTTATATCAACTCACTCTGGCTATCTGGTAAATAGTTTGTACATGTTATTTCTATCTAACCATCCATCCCAGTGGCGCTACAGCCCATAATCTTCAAATACAAAAACAAAATTTAATAAAATACTCAGAAAGACACAAAGATAAAGGCACGTTCCTCATCCCATATACTTGGACAAATTTATACAAATGCTCCTTCTTCCCTAGTGCTATTAGAGCATGGAATGGGTTGCCTGAGCTAGCCAGGAAAACCAGTGACTTGGCAGAATTTAAGTCATTGGTTAATATGCATGACTAAATGCATGACACGTAGGACGTAATCATCTTCTTTTATGAAATAACGTCTGTATTATATAAGATAAGATATAAGAAGGCTCTAGCCTGCTTCAACACATCCTTCCATTCAGATCTCTCCTAGGACTTTCGTTCTTGACACATTTAAGCCCAAGCTGTTGCTTATATCAACTCACTCTGTCTAGCAAATAGTTTGTACATGTTATTTCTCCCACACAAAATCTCGGATCAAGTACAAGTTTTGCAAAATTATATCTTGTACATGACAAAACAAGAAGGAATAAAAAAAAACAAAAAAAAACTAATCAATTAATTAATTAACTATTGGTAATTAAGTTTTCTGTGATACCCCCTTCTTTCCATTCCCTTCTCTTTTGCAACTGGTTCAGACAAGTGATAGGATCATAGCGCATGATAAAGCTAAAAGCTTAACAAAAACAATTGGTAAAAATATTTATCGCAAAAATTTATTATCATTAGTCTAGATCTATTACAAATTTAATTACAACTGATCCAAACTGATACAATTGTTTCACTTAATATAAGCTAAGTTCTTTTTTAAAGTATTTTTTTTTCTTCTTGTTATCAAATATAATCCATCAATTTTATGCGGTTATTCGTTGGTTACGATCTTAAGAACATTAATCAGAGCTTGCTAAGACATTTCAACAAGTAACAGTACCAGGCAAAAGAAAGAAAGGTAGACAAAAGAAGGAAGACAATGTCAAAGAATGGACAGGCCTGTCAATAAAACTCTCAACCTGGCAAAACTCATAGAGGAACGGAAAGAGACAGTCAAAGACTAAAAGACAGGTGAAAGTGAATCATGTCGACATTTGTGTTTATGTGTGTCATTAGTAGAATAATTCCCTTTGGCAAGAGAGGTAAGAGCTCAAAACCTATTATATTAAGACTTAATATAACAAAAGATAAACTGTCATCAACCCAGATTGTAACAACTATGCCCCTCGTTCTTACTTAGATACACTGGCCGGAACTGGTCCATCTCCTGAATCTTTCATCACTGCATTGGAAGATTTCAAAACAATATGATTGTCAACAACGGTTTTGTCTGGGGGTGTGCTTGCTTTCCCCATGGCCAATGATTCAGAGGCATCTACATCCATCTAGAGAAATACAAAAATTTAATAGTATTTTGAAAATGTTTAAGAATATGAATACTTTGAGCGACATTCTAGCTTTGTGTTATATCAAACTTCTAGGGTTTTAATAACTGCATGTAGTAATGTTATTTGTCAAGGTATATACAAGTTTTCTCACACAACTGAACCTTTTCAGGTACAATTTACTTGAGATAAAAAAAAACAACTCGTGTGCTAACATAACCATTCAAAATAACTGAGCAACAAGGAAATGAAAGTTGTGCTCTTGTGTAGGAACTAATCAGCGGTGAAGAGTTTATACATGAAATAAACTCTCCCCAGCTAACATACAGATGATACATTTGTATCATTTTAAAAGAGATGGTCTAGATAGCTAGTTTCAAAATTGATAGTTATTAATTTGGTTGAGCAATTTAATTTATTATTGGATTTAACTTTGATAAAATCCCCCGAGCCAGCCATAAATACGCACAAACAACTATTTGTGAAGTATATAAAAAGAATCTTAGAAAGATTCAGTGATAAAACACAGTCCATGGAAAAAAAATTAAAAGGAAAAGGGACTAAAATAAACCTGAGTATTCTAAACTGAAGTTAGGTTCTAAATGAACAAAATTGTAAGGGTAACTACACAAGAAAATATAAATGATTCAACAATGACATACTTGTTGATAGAGTATACCTTTGTTAAAGTTATTAATTACCTTCATTTCCGCTTCTTTAACATCATCTTCTTCATCTTTTCCCTTTTCGTTTTTTGACCAGTCTGATTTACCATGCTCAGCTTCATACTCGCCCAAGACTTCATCCAAATTATATCGGCGACGAAAGTTAACAAAGAAACTTCTAACATGAGCTTCAGTCTTGTTGCCAATCACCTCCGCTATAGCTTTGAAGTCTTTCCCATATTTTCTGACACCTGTGATTACAATAAGAATTTGATGGTAGAAATTTTAGAAAAAATTCTCAACTAAGTAAAATAAAAATAAAGGATTAGAATAAAGATCATTTTTTTCACAAAGAACTGATTTTTCTAAAACTTAAAATATCACATTTGAAAGCATTTTAGAACTACTTCAGTAAGTTGGATGTGATGATACATTTTAAGGTACCAAAACCTGGTCAGGTATAACAAAAATAATAATTTTTTTTTTAGATAAAAATCAAAAAGTTAAATATCAAAGACATTAACACCAGAAATCTATCTTTATAAATTAACTATCTATCATTACACTTATTAGCTGGTTAAATCCAGATATCAATAGTGCACCATTCAAATAACATTCAAATAATCTTTGATCTTTACCTTGGACTGCAAGAAGTAATTCCTCATTGGTCCAACGTGCATTGATTCTGAAGCCAGACTGAACAAAACAGAAATATATTTAAAACCTATTTGGAGAAGTTGGTATGAAAAAATATTCTTCCTAAAAAATAATAACATTTCACAAGAAGTGCTTGTACAACATTATTATCAAAAATGAGATAGATCAAAATATTATACCTCAGGAGGTTTGAAATCATCTAACCCTGAGCTGAGCTTATGCTTCTGTTGGCTGAGCATCTGTTTGTTGTTCTGGACCATTCTTTTTAAAGAAATAAGTTCACTGTCTAATGATTTCAGTATAGCTTCAGGCTGATTTGGTGGACCAGACACCATGGCTAATAGATCATTTTGATCTAAATACATGCCTTTCGGTGGCTTGCGTTTATGTTTTATGGCATTATGTCTTCCTGTGGTCTGTGAGTCATGTCGCTTTGGACCAGCTGATCGCATTACACCAGTTCTCCTGTAATTAAATTTTATATAACTTTAGAACTTCCTTAAGCTTTGAATAATACATAAAAATCTCAATTTTATATTGCGCACTGTTTGAGGCAAAAGCGAAACAAGAGATAATTCATGCTCATTGCATCTTTCAAACATTATAATTATTGAATGTCCCTCAGGCTCATTTTTAGCTTCAAGTGATACATCGGGCTAAAAAATATTTAAATTATAAGCAGCAGATAGTCAAATCATGTCATCAACTTCTAAAAATTAGCACCATGATCTTGAATGTCTGAAAAAGTGGCTCATTAAATTGCAAACTACTACAGAAACCCCAAGAAAAGCATAGACTAAGAAAAACAATATAAAAAGATAAACAAAATTAGATTCAATGTTTGTTTTAAATCATATTACTAGATGGGCTAAATAAAACTTACACGCAAATTCAATATTGTTATATAATATAATTTGTGTCTCATTTATTTCTAATTGAGGTTTAGTCTTCAGTATTTTTTTCATAAGAGATTTGTGTTTAAGTGAGGACAAAGAATCTGCTTTTCTATCATCGCAATGTTAAAATCTACACAAT